CATTTGCAGAATGGTCGGTGCCAAAAACGTCTCCCTTTGTGAGCTCAGCGCAAAGCGCCGCCAGATCGAGCTGCCTGTTAGCGGCCTCTTTGGGGACTCAGTTCTGCCATCAGAAATCGCAGGGCCCCTTACTACAAGTCTCGGGCCTCTTTGCTGTTAATGTACTTTTTATTTTTTATTTTTTGGGGTGAAGTTAATGTACTTCACCCCAAAAAATATATATATATCGTGTAGCTTGTTTGTTATAACATCTTGGCAAAGTCTGAAGATCACAAGGTGTATGAATTCAGCGATTTTGCAGAATTGCATTTCCATATTTAAATAGGTTTCTGTGAAGGGCTCATTCACTCCGGGTGGGTTGATCTGCATTTATCGGCACTGATCTACGCAGGTTCAGTGCATGGAAACATAGAAAACATGGTCAGTCCTCCCCTGGAAAGGTAGCAGGAGAACCATTTGGAAACTCGGGCAACGTGAAACGCACTGCAGAAACGGATCAAACGCAATCTGCATAGGTGTGAACCTAGCCTTACCCTAATTTCACACTTAAGCGTTTTCTGCAGCGTTTTGCATTTTGAGGCTTTTTTCAATGCAAAAAGCGTTTTTGGTTCTATAGACTTCAATGGAAACGCTGCAGAAAAGCATGTTGTGTGTTTTTGCCGCATTTTGCATTTTAAATCTGCCTAGCAACAAGAAAAAACATAAAACAAAAAGGCAAAAGGCGTCAAAAAGGCATGTGCAAAAACGCACTGCAGAAATGGATCAAACGCAAACTGCATAGGTGTGACCAGGGGCGGACTGACCATTTGGAAACTCGGGCACTGCCCGAGGGCCCGGGGTCAGTAGGGGGCCCCATGAGATGCCCCTGGTACCATTTTCATAGGCTTTTTTGAGTTTGGGCAAGGACACAGGGGCCCCATGATCCCCTATTGCCCGGGGCCCCATGAGTTGTCAGTCCGCCCCTGTACCTACCCCCCCCCCCAAATATTTGATCTTGCATTTGGGTACCCAGTAACAGTGACATCTTATTTGCACATTCTAGGTATTTTTTTTTGATAGGTCCATTGTTACCAACCTATCAAGTTTATTAGTTCTTTTGTTTCCCTTTTTCTTTTTTTTTAGGCTCCATAGGTCACACAAGCCTGGCCTCAGTCACTCTCCACTGCACTATGTGATGAGGTCCCTCGTCTGCGGGGTGAGGCTCCTCTTATGTGACATTGCTCCTGTATCCTCTACAACACGGGTGTCAAACTGGCGGCCCTCCAGCTGTTGCCAAACTACAAGTCCCATGAGGCATTGCAAGACTGACAGTTACAAGCATGACACCCAAAGGCAGAGGCATGATGGGACTTGTAGTCTGGCAACAGCTGGAGGGCCGCCAGTTTGACGTCCCTGCTCTACAAGGTCAGGTCTACTACATAGGCCCTATACTTCCCTTGTACCAGGCTCCAGCAGACATACCCTGCAGGGTCACCTATTGATGAATGGATTTCTCTTCCTGTTATCTTTGCTCCCGCATTATTGTCTCCATCTTAGCCACATGTGCCTGTTGGTTCTGAAGCCATCGCTACTTTCCACACGTATATAATATTTATCATATGGCTGAAGTGTTTGTACCCAGGGCCAGGACAAGGGGTGGGCAGGAGGGGTGACTGCCCTGGGCACAATGGTCCATCGTAGGGATGGCAGCTCCTTCTTTCTGATACAAGGCTGACAGGAGTAGTGACAGCAGCAGTGATTTTGACAAGCGAGTGACTGCTGGGCATGGGATTCCCTAAGCTTGCACATCATGAAAGTTAGGGGGGGGGGCAGTTTGGCATCTTTGCCCTGGGCATGGGATGACCTTGTCCTGGCAAGGTTTGTACCTGTGATAACTTTGGATTATTATTTCTATTTTCTGTCTTGTACTAACTGGTAAAACTTTAAAAAAAACTGATTATACAAAAAAGAAAAAATGTTTGTTCTCTATGTGCCCTCTATTGTTCTCTATGTACCCTGTTTACACTATACATGCACTGACAGCAAGCTCTCTTTACCTGGATTACAGGTGGCATTCTGGATGGCTCCACCCTGATAAATTGATATTTAGACCCCTACAAGATTAAAGAATCCACGGCCAGGACAAGGGGTGGGCAGCGAGTGACTGCTGGGTGTAGGATTCCCTAAGCTTGCACATCATGAAAGTTAGGTGGGGGCAGTTTGGCATCTTTGCCCTGGGCGTGGGATGACCTTGTCCTGGCACGGTTTGTACCTGGATAACTTTGGATTTTTATTTGCATCAGGTTTGTGTTTTTCGTCTTGTAATAACTGGTAAAACTTTAATTAAAACTGATTATACAAAAAAGAAAAAAAAAAATATCTGTTCTCTATGTGCCCTCTATATGTCATAAATTGATATTTAGACCCCCTGCATGAATAAAGCAGAATTCCAGGCATAGCATTTTTTTTTACATAGGTCCAACTTGGAACATACCTGTGGGGATTCCTATTGAAGCTGGAAATCTATGTAGTTGACATTGCTACTCCAGTCATCTCTAGTAGCTTCCGGTTCCAGTGCTGAGCAGCTGCCCTGCTACATTGTGAACCCAGAAGTTTGGTCAATCAGTACAGTTGCCATTTAGAGAATGCTTTGTGTTTTTTTAATGCATGCAAAGCATTCTCTGATTGGATGAGGTGGAGAGCGTGACTTCACTGCCTCACCTCTCCACCTCATCCAATCAATGAACGCTTGTCATACATTAAGAAAATGCAAAGCGTTCTCTGAATGGAGGGAGGAATACTCCCCAATGGGACATTGTTACAGAATACACTGATCAGCGGCTGCAGCCGTTGCTTTAGAAAAGTTTTTCAGCAACAGACATCTGCTGAGCAGGGATGGCCACACACTCTTTGAAATTTGGCCACCCACTGCTGAACCGGCTGAATTTCAATCAGTGTATGGCCAGCTTTAGGAGACCTCTAGCTAAATGGGAGTCTGGGACAAAGTACTACATATACCTTGTCCCATGGTGCCAGAACAATGTAAAAAAATTGCAATGATAGTTCTCCTTTAAGTGTATGATCAGCATTACTTAAAGTGTTACTAACCCCACAACAGTCTGTATATGCAGGAAAGCATGCTTTTTATACTCCCTATGGAACCTAAGGGGTTAATCCTCTGCATTGTGTTTGAGCCTGTCTTCTCTGATCCTCCTACTGTCCCTAATCCATCTGCTGATAGTACAGAGCTCTAGGAGTCACTCTGCGCATGCTCAGTTTAGTGTGCTAGACAGTTTTGTTTTCTTTGGGAGAGTGCATGTGATCATCAAAGGGCCAATCAGCACTGTCCAGACAAAGGGTCAGGGGTTATGCAGCCTCATAGGACAGTCAGAGGAGAATGAAAACTCATCCTATAAGATTAACCAGTGCTCAGCCGGACACTGATAGAAGTCACAAGACTGCTACAAACTGCTGCTGGGAAAAAATTATTTAGCAGTTTATATTTACTACAGTAATTGCATTTCCATGTTCTGTGTACTGTGGGAGAGCGGATACAGTGAATGCCGGGTCCGGGGAGAGCGGATACGGTGAATGCCGGGTCCGGGGAGAGAGCGGATACGGTGCATGCCGGGTCCGGGGGGACCGGATACGGTGCATGCCGGGTCCGGGGGGACCGGATACGGTGCATGCCGGGTCCGGGGGGACCGGATACGGTGCATGCCGGGTCCGGGGGGACCGGATACGGTGCATGCCGGGTCCGGGGGGACCGGATACGGTGCATGCCGGGTCCGGGGGGACCGGATACGGTGCATGCCGGGTCCGGGGGGACCGGATACGGTGCATGCCGGGTCCGGGGGGACCGGATACGGTGCATGCCGGGTCCGGGGGGACCGGATACGGTGCATGCCGGGTCCGGGGGGACCGGATACGGTGCATGCCGGGTCCGGGGGGACCGGATACGGTGCATGCCGGGTCCGGGGGGACCGGATACGGTGCATGCCGGGTCCGGGGGGACCGGATACGGTGCATGCCGGGTCCGGGGGGACCGGATACGGTGCATGCCGGGTCCGGGGGGACCGGATACGGTGCATGCCGGGTCCGGGGGGACCGGATACGGTGCATGCCGGGTCCGGGGAGACCGGATACGGTGCATGCCGGGTCCGGGGAGACCGGATACGGTGCATGCCGGGTCCGGCGAGACCGGATACGGTGCATGCCGGGTCCGGGGAGACCGGATACGGTGAATGCCGGGTCCGGGGAGACCGGATACGGTGAATGCCGGGTCCGGGGAGACCGGATACGGTGAATGCCGGGTCCGGGGAGACCGGATACGGTGAATGCCGGGTCCGGGGAGACCGGATACAGTGAATGCAGGGTCCGGGGAGACCAGATAAAGTGAATGCAGGGTCCGGGGAGACCAGATAAAGTGAATGCAGGGTCCGGGGAGACCAGATAAAGTGAATGCAGGGTCCGGGGAGACCAGATAAAGTGAATGAATGCAGGGTCCGGGGAGACCAGATAAAGTGAATGCAGGGTCCGGGGAGACCAGATAAAGTGAATGCAGGGTCCGGGGAGACCAGATAAAGTGAATGCAGGGTCCGGGGAGACCAGATAAAGTGAATGCAAGGTTCTGGGAGACCAGATAAAGTGAATGCAAGGTTCTGGGAGACCAGATAAAGTGAATGCAAGATTCTGGGAGAGCAGATATAGTGAATGCAGAGTCCGGGGGAGACCAGATATAGTGAATGCAGGGTTCTGGGAGAGCAGATATAGTGAATGCAGGGTCCGGGGAGACCAGATATAGTGAATGCAGAGTCCGGGCAGACCAGATATAGTGAATGCAGGGTCCTGGGTTTAGTAACACTTTAAAAAACAGACAGCAATGTACAAATAAAAAGCGATGCATCTGTATTAACCAATCACTAATTGTCCTGTGCAGGATTTAGCAGCATTAAAATGAATTCTGATTGGCTGCTCAGCATTACTGCAATTTATAATTGTCGCTTTGCCCCTTATGCAGTTCATTTAACAAGGTGGACAGACTTACCATCAATCTGTCTGCTGATCTTCACACAGTGTAGTACTGTCCGTCTGTACTCCTCTGGTCTGTTAAGCAGAGAGTCTGCAGCCTCCAAATGAACAACGTCCTCCATCACGGGATTGGAAAGAAGAGTCTGAAATACAAGGTAAAGAGATATATATCTATACAGACACATACTGTGCATATAATGATGACCATGACCAGGGGCGGACTGACAACTCATGGGGCCCCCGGGCAATAGGGGATCATGGGGCCCTGTCCTCGCCCACACCCAAAAAAGCCTATGAAAAAGCCAATGAAAGGTACCAGGGGCATCTCATGGGGCCCCCTACTGACCCCAGGCCCTCGGGCAGTGCCCAAGTGCTCGAATGGTCAGTCCGCCCCTGACCATGACATGAACAGAACATAGCTAGTAGCATTTAGTCACATCCAAATGTTATGTTGAAGATGTTTCACTGCTTATCCAAATGGCTTCCACTAGTTTTAATGAGTTGCCAGAACATACCCCAGGATGTAAAGCAGTGGTTGTCAATTTAGGAGAGTCCCAGCTGTGGGGTGTTGGGTTGCAATTAGTATTTAGTATAGGACAGGAGACTGTAAGACTTCAATATAATTAGAGGAGATGATTAGAGACTGTGGACATGCAACAGGTATGGTTGGAGAAGACACAGTGCAGGAGACAGTCAAAGTCTGTGGACATGCTACATGGGACTGCTGGAGATCTTGGACATTACAGCTTCTTTTCAAACAAATGGTCCCACTTCTGACTGCCAGGATCTGTAAAGGAACCCCCTACAAGTGCCAAAGGGCCACTTGTGGTCACTGGGAAGACTGCCCCTTACATTATTGATAAGTAGGAAGATGGCTTCTTACGTTAGTGATCAGTGGAAAGACTGTCCCATACATTGTCAATCAATGGAAAGAATGTCCTGTACATTTATGATCAGTGGAAATAATGTCCCACATATTAGTGATCAATGGAAATAATGTCCCACATATTAGTGATCAATGGAAATAATGTCCCATATATTAGTGATCAATGGAAATAATGTCCCTTAAATTGATGATCAGTGGAAAGAATGTCCCTTAAATTGGTGATCAATGGAAAGCATATCCCATACGTTTATGATCAGTGGAAAGAATGTCCCCTAAATTGACAATCGATGGAAAGAATGTCCCATACATGTATGATCAGTGAAAAAGAATGTCCCATACATTGGTGATCAGTGGGAAGAATGCCCCTTAACATTGGTGATCAGTGGGAAGAATGTCCCTTAACATTGGTGATCAGTAGAAAGAATACCCCTTAACATTGGTGATCAGTGGGAAGAATACCCCTTAACATTGGTGATCAGTGGGAAGAATGCACCTTACATTGGTGATCAGTGGGAAGAATGTTCCTTACATTGGTGGTCAGTGGGAAGAATGCTCCTTACATTAGTGATCAGTGGGAAGAAAGCTCCTTACATTGGTGATCAGTGGGAAGAATGTTCCTTACATTGGTGGTCAGTGGGAAGAATGTTCCTTACATTGGTGGTCAGTGGGAAGAATGTCCCTTACATTGGTGGTCAGTGGGGAAGAATGCCCCTTACATTGGTGATCAGTGAGAAGAATGTCCCTTACATTGGTGATCAGGGGGAAGAATGTTCCTTACATTGGTGATCAGGGGGAAGAATGCCCTTACATTGGTGATCAGGGGGAAGAATGCTCCTTACATTGGTGATCAGTGAGAAGAATGTTCCTTACATTGGTGATCAGTGGGAAGAATGCTCCTTACATTGGTGATCAGGGGGAAGAATGTCCCTTACATTGGTGATCAGTGGGAAGAATGTTCCTTACATTGGTGATCAGTGGAAAGAATGCTCCTTACATGGTGAATCAGTGGGAAGAATGCTCTTTACATTGGTGATCAGTGGGAAGAATGTCCCTTACATTGGTGATCAGAGGGAAGAATGTCCCTTACATTGGTGATCAGTGGGAAGAATGCCCCTTACATTGGTGGTCAGTGAGAAGAATGCTCCTTACATTGGTGATCAGTGGGAAGAATGTCCCTTACATTGGTGGTCAGAGGGAAGAATGCCCCTTACATTGGTGGTCAGTGGGAAGAATGTTCCTTACATTGGTGATCAGTGGGAAGAATGTCCCTTACATTGGTGGTCAGAGGGAAGAATGTCCCTTACATTGGTGATCAGTGGGAAGAATGCCCCTTACATTGGTGATCAGTGGGAAGAATGCCCCTTACATTGGTGATCAGTGGGAAGAATGCCCCTTACATTGGTGATCAGTGGGAAGAATGCCCCTTACATTGGTGGTCAGTGGGAAGAATGTTCCTTACATTGGTGATCAGTGGGAAGAATGTCCCTTACATTGGTGGTCAGAGGGAAGAATGTCCCCTTACATTGGTGATCAGTGGGAAGAATGCTCCTTACATTGGTGATCAGTGAGAAGAATGCTCCTTACATTGGTGATCAGTGGGAAGAATGCCCCTTACATTGGTGGTCAGTGGGAAGAATGTTCCTTACATTGGTGGTCAGTGGGAAGAATGCTCCTTACATTGGTGATCAGTGGGAAGAATGTTCCTTACATTGGTGATCAGTGGGAAGAATGCTCCTTACATTAGTGATCAGTGGGAAGAAAGCTCCTTACATTGGTGATCAGTGGGAAGAATGTTCCTTACATTGGTGGTCAGTGGGAAGAATGTTCCTTACATTGGTGGTCAGTGGGAAGAATGTCCCTTACATTGGTGGTCAGTGGGAAGAATGCCCCTTACATTGGTGATCAGTGAGAAGAATGTCCCTTACATTGGTGATCAGTGTGAAGAATGTTCCTTACATTGGTGATCAGGGGGAAGAATGCCCCTTACATTGGTGATCAGGGGGAAGAATGCTCTTTACATTGGTGATCAGTGAGAAGAATGTTCCTTACATTGGTGATCAGTGGGAAGAATGCTCCTTACATTGGTGATCAGTGGGAACAATGTCCCTTACATTGGTGATCAGTGGGAAGAATGCTCCTTACATTGGTGATCAGGGGGAAGAATGTCCCTTACATTGGTGATCAGTGGGAAGAATGTTCCTTACATTGGTGATCAGTGGGAAGAATGCTCCTTACATTGGTGATCAGTGGGAAGAATGCTCCTTACATTAGTGATCAGTGGGAAGAAAGCTCCTTACATTGGTGATCAGTGGGAAGAATGTTCCTTACATTGGTGGTCAGTGGGAAGAATGTTCCTTACATTGGTGGTCAGTGGGAAGAATGTCCCTTACATTGGTGATCAGTGGGAAGAATGCTCCTTACATTGGTGATCAGTGAAAGAATGCTCCTTACATTGGTGATCAGTGGGAAGAATGCCCCTTTACATGGGGGGTCAGTGGGAAGAATGTCCCTTACATTGGTGGTCAGTGGGGAAGAATGTTCCTTACATTGGTGGTCAGTGGGAAGAATGTTCCTTACATTGGTGATCAGTGGGAAGAATGTCGCATACCTGGATAGCCAGCAGTACATAACTCATCGTGTAACGCGGGTTCCAGTCCGATGGCTTGTCCAGGAAATCGACGCAAGGCTTTCCAGTCCTTGGTTCAACTGTTGGTATTAAAGACATTTCAAACCTCTTTGAAAACTTATTTTTATGAAAGAATTGAACATAAAAAGCATTCTAAAATGATAGGAACAACATGAAGCAACGTCAATAGAAGTAGACATAATGAAGTCAAAAGTTTGGCATGTTGAATATATAACAAAAATGAAAGGCAAACAGTAAATACACAAAGGAAATTCATACATTGGAGCTATTTTACTTATCAAAAGATTTCTATTGCTGACTATCCAGTTCAGAGATTTACACAGCTCTGCTGTACAGCTAACCTGAGGACTTGTTTTTTCTTTACTACGGTTAAGTAAAGTAAGTTTTGTTCCTGCCCCAGCCTGTGATTGGGCAGTAAATGAGAGGCAGTATATTGAGAGCTTGTCTCTCTGTCTCCTCCTATCAGCATGCTCCTTGTCAACAAATGGCCACAGCAGCAAAACTGATTGGCTCTGTGTGCTGCTTCTCCCTCTCCCTATCCAAGCTCTGCTGTTTAGCTTTAACCACCTCTTGACCGCACTATAGCCAAATGACGGCTACAGCACAATCGTCCAGTTCTAGGAGGGCGTCATATGCCCCCCCCCCCCCCCCCCCCTGTGCCTTCAGCGGCACCTGGCGCTCTCTGTGATCGCTGTGTCCTTTGGAAACAGCAGATCTTATGGCACGGTAAAAGGCCAATCACAGCTGATCACCATGTAAATACACTTACCGGTTATCGGCAGCACTTTCCTCACGTTGTCACAGCTTGAAGAAAGTACTGCCAATAACCGGCAACTGTCAAAGCAGACATCTGCACTGATTATCAGTACAATCCCAAAAGATCCCAGCAGTGCCCAACAGTGCGGCCCATCACTGCCCATCAGTGCTGCCAATCACTGCCCATCAGTGCTGCCAATCTGTGCTCATCAGTGCAGCCCCAAAAGTGCCCATCAGTGCCCAACAGTGCTGCCCATCAGTGCCCAACAGTGCTATCAGTGCCCATCATTGCTGCATAACAGTGCTGCCTCTTCAGTGCTTCCTATCAGTGCCCATTGGTACTATCTATCAGTGCCCATCATTGCCGCATAACAGTGCTGCCTCATCAGTGAACATTAGTGCTTCCTATCAGTGCACATTGGTGCTCTTTATCAGTGCCAATCATTGCCGCATATCTGAGCTGCCTCATCAGTTCACATCAGTGCCCATTGGTGCTATCAGTGCCCATCATTGCTGCATATCAGTGCTGCCTCTTCAGTGCTTCCTATCAGTGCCCATTAGTGCTATCTATCAGTGCCCATCATTGCCGCGTATCCGTGCTGCCTCATCAGTGAACATCAGTGCTTCCTATCAGTGCACATTGGTGCTGTTTATCAGTGCCAATCATTGCCGCATATCTGAGCTGCCTCATCAGTGCACATCAGTGCCCATTGGTGCAATCTATCAGTGCCCATCATTGCTGCATATCAGTGCTGCCTCGTCAGTGCTTCCTATCAGTTTCAATTGGTGCTATCTATCAGTGCCCATCATTGCCGCATATCAGTGCTGCCTCATCAGTGCTTCCTATCAGTGCCCATTGGTGCTGCCTATCAGTGCAGCCTCATCAACGCACATCAGTGAAGTAGAAAAGTTACGAGTTTGCAAAATTTTATCAGCATACCAAGACATTTTGGACAACTTCATGCTCCCAACTTTGTGGGAAGAGTTTTGGGGATGACCCCTTCCTGTTCCAACATGACGGCGCACCAGTGCACAAAGCAATGTCCATAAAGATATGGAGGAGTCCTGACCTCAACCCCATAGAACACCTTTGAGATGAATTAGAGCAGAGACTGCGAGCCAGGCCTCCTCCCCCGACATCAGTGCCTGACCTGACAAATGTGCTTCTGGAGGAATGGTCCAACCTTCCCATAGACACCCCTCCTAAACCTTGTGGACGGCCTTCCCAGAAGAGTTGAAGCTGTTATAGCTGCAAAGGGCGGGGCCAACTCAATATTGAATCCTACGGACTAAGACTGGGGGGCCATTAAAGGTCATGTGTGTGGAAAGGCAGGCGGCCCAATACTTTAGGCAATATAGTGTATATTCTGCTGATGGGAAAAGGTATTTAGAAGTTTATATTTACTAAAATAATTGCATTTCCATGTTCTGTGTACTGTGGGAGACTGGATATAGTGAATGCAGGGTCCGGGGAGACCAGATATGGTGAATGCAGGGTCCGAGAAGAACGGATATAGTGAATGCAGGGTCCGGGGAGACCGGATATAGTGAATGCAGGGTCCGGGGAGGCCAGATATAGTGAATGCAGAGTCAGGGGAGAACGGATATAGTGAATGCAGGGTCCGGGGAGACCGGATATAGTGAATGCAGGGTCCGGGGAGGCCAGATATAGTGAATGCAGAGTCAGGGGAGAGCGGGATATAGTGAATGCAGGGTCCGGGGAGAGCAGATATAGTGAATGCAGGGTCCGGGGAGACGAGATACAGTGAATGCCGGGTCCGGGGAGACCAGATATAGTGATTGCAGGGACCGGGGAGACCAGATATAGTGAATGCTGGGTCCAAGGAGACCAGATATAGTGAATGCTGGGTCCAGGAAGAGCGGATAAAGTGAATGCAGGGTCCTGCGAGAGCACATAAAGTGAATGCAGGGTCCTGCGAGACCAGATATAGTGAATGCAGGGTCTGGAGAGACCAGATATAGAGAATGCAGGGTTTGAGGGACCAGATATAGTGTGCATGCAGGGTCCGGGGAGACCGGATATAGTGAATTCAGGGTCCAGGGAGAGCGGATATAGTGAATGCGGGGTCCAGGGAGAGCGGATATAGTGAATGCAGGGTCCTGGGAGAGCGGATATAGTGAATGCAGGGTCCGGGGAGAGCGGATATAGTGAATGCAGGGTCCGAGGAGAGCGGATATAGTGAATGCAGGGTCCGAGGAGAGCGGATATAGTGAATGCACGGTCCGGGGAGACCGGATATAGTGAATCCAGGGTCCCGGGAGACCGGATATAGTGAATGCAGGGTCCGGGGAGAGCGGGAGAGCGGATATAGTGAACACAGGGTCCGGGGAGAGCGGATATAGTGAACGCGGGGGTCCGGGAAGACCGGATATAGTGAACGCGGGGTCCGGGGAGACCGGATATAGTGAGTGCGGGGTCCGGGGAAAGCGGATATAGTGAATGCGGGGTCCGGGGAGAGCGGATATAGTGAATGCAGGGTCCGGGGAGACCAGATATAGTGAATGCAGGGTCCGGGGAGACCAGATATAGTGAATGCAGGGTCTGTGGAGACCAGACATAGTGAATGCAGAGCCCTAGGAGAACCAGCTATAGTGAATGCAGGGTCTGGGGAGACCAGATATAGTGAATGCAGGGTCCGGGGAGAGCAGATATAGTGAATGCAGGGTCCGGGGAGAGCAGATATAGTGAATGCAGGGTCCGGGGAGACCGGATATAGTAAATGCAGGGTCCTGGGAGACCGGATATAGAGAATGCAGGGTCTGGGGAGACCAGATATAGTGAATGCAGGGTCTGGGGAGACCAGATATATAGTGAATGTAGGGTCCGGGGAGACCAGATATAGTGAATGCAGGGTCCGGGGAGACCAGATATAGTGAATGCAGGGTCCAGGGAGACCATAGTGATATAGTGAATGCGGGGTCCGGGGAGACCAGATATAGAGAATGCAGGGTCTGGGAAGACCGGATATAGTGAATGCAGGGTCCGGGGGAGACCAGATATAGTGAATGCAGGGTCCGAGAGACCAGATATAGTGAATGCGGGGTCCGGGAGACCAGATATAGTGAATGCAGGGTCCTGGGAGACCAGATATAGTGAATTCAGGGTCCTGGGAGACCAGATATAGTGAATGCAGGGTCCGGGGAGACCAGATATAGTGAATGCGGGGTCCGGGGAGAGCGGATATAGTGTATGCAGGGTCTGGGGAGACCAGATATAGTGTATGCAGGGTCCGGGGAGACCAGATATAGTGAATGCGGGGTCCGGGGAGACCAGATATAGTGAATGCGGGGTCCGGGGAGACCAGATATAGAGAATGCAGGGTCTGGGGAGACCGGATATAGTGAATGCAGGGTCCGGGGAGACCAGATATAGTGAATGCAGGGTCCGGGGAGACCAGATATAGTGAATGCAGGGTCCTGGGAGACCAGATATAGTGAATTCAGGGTCCTGGGAGACCGGATATAGAGAATGCAGGGTCCGGGGAGACCAGATATAGTGTATGCAGGTCTGGGGAGACCAGATATAGTGAATGCAGGGTCCGGGGAGACCAGATATAGTGAATGCAGGGTCTGGGGAGACCAGATATAGTGAATGCAGGGTCTGGGGAGACCAGATATAGTGAATGCAGGGTCAGGGGAGGCCAGATATAGTGAATGCCAGGTCCGGGGAGACCAGATATAGTGAATGCAGGGTCCGGGGAGACCAGATATAGTGAATGCAGGGTCTGGGGAGACCGGATATAGTGAATGCAGGGTCCAGGGAGACCAGATATAGTGAATGCAGGTTCCGGGGAGACCAGATATAGTGAATGCAGGGTCCGGAGAGACCAGATATAGTGAATGCAGGGTCATGGGTTTAGTAACACTTTAAATACCACCAAAAATGGTCTCAAATAAAGGATACCAATTTCATATGGGTATAATGTCGCATGACCGCGCAATTGTTATTCAAAGTGCAACAGCGCTGAAAAGCTGAAAGTTAATCTGGGCAGAACGTTGGTGAAAGTGCCCGGTATTGAAGTGGTTAAAATAAAAAAAGTTGGACATACCCTTTAATCGCAGAGGCTCCAGAGCACACTTCTGGCTGGGGATATTTCCCCTCCATGTTCCATTCAACAGGAACTGTCAGATATTACTCAGCGTCCCTTACGGCGGTTGTAAATAATATCGCAATGTATATTTGTCTTTGACAAATTAGGTTTCGCTGTCCAAACAAGTATGAAGTATGACAGATTGGAATTCCCACCAGAGAGGTGAGCTAATAGGGTCTGGGAGCCTGATAAGGACAGCTGCTGGAAGCGGGACAAGTCTAACAGCCCGTAGTGCGCATGCGCAGCCATCACAGAGAAATCCTGCTAAGCACTAATTGGTTGTTAAATGGTTACATGACATTGTAAAAAAAACAAAACTACAGTCTCTGTAAAAAGAGTCAAGCTTTATGCGTCTTTCTGCCAGGTACATGTGCCTGAAATGTATTTCCACTTCTGCAGCCAAGTTGGGATGATGCCTACTTTATATTTCTTACATGTTTCCATTCACATAGCAGAACTTTAAAAAATATTGAAATATTGAAACTTACTATTTTAATTGCTTAATATTGGCCTAAAAGGTCTACCTAGCTTTCCATCCTATGTAATAAAAAGAAAACTTTTACCCCCCCCCCCCCTTACCTGTATAGCAAGCTATGCAAAAAAAAAAAAAAAGGGGATCTGCTGCAGCACACCTAATCCAGTGCTACCATCTTCTGGCATCACCGGGGGGGGGGGGGGGGGGGGGGGGGGGGGGGGGGGGGGGGGGGGGGGGGGGGGGGGGGTCAGCTGTCTCTTCTGGGTTTTGCAGTGGCCCTATGACATGCACGCCCTGTGCCAAGTCAGCAGTGGACTGTCTGAGAGCCAGCCCCCCTGATTACACAAAAAAAAAAAAAAAAACAGTTTTGAGTGGATTAGGCTTTTAAGCTGCTTAAAGGAGAAAATAACTCCATTCAAGTGTTTCCTGCAGTGCCCTGGTGCCCAACCTGTATCCCAGGGGCCAAATGCAGCCCTTCAACACTTTCTGTGTGGCCCTCTGGGCCCCTGCAGACACCAATCTGTGTTTCCCTACTGTCCTGTTATTGCAGTGACCTCTAGCAGTCTCATCTAATAAGTCTCCTGAAACATGTCCCCAGCCTCTAACAACATGTCTCCCGTCTCTGACCTTCTTCCGTACCACATCAGCAGTCACTGACCATCTTCTGTACCATGTCAGTAGTCACTGACCATCTTCTGTACCATGTCAGTAGTCACTGATCATCTCCTGTACCACGTCAGCAGTCTCTGATCATCTCCTGTACCATGTCCGCAGTCACTGATCATCTCCTGTACCATGTCCGCAGTCTCTGACCATCTCCCGTACCACGTCCGCAGTCTCTGACCATCTCCCGTACCACATCCGCAGTCTCTGACCATCTCCCGTACCACATCAGCAGTCTCTGACCATCTCCCGTACCACATCAGCAGTCTCTGATCATCTCTGACTGTCTCTGACCACCGGGCAGCACAGTGGCTAAATGGTTAGCACCTCAGCCTGACAGTAATAGGGTCACTGGTTTGAATCCCAGCCATGGCACCACCTGCCTGGAGTTTGCATGTTCTCCCTGTGCCTGCGTGGGTTTCCTCCGGGTACTCCGGTTTCCTTCCACAATCCAAAGACATGCTGGTAGGTGAATTGGATCCTGTCTAAATTGTCCCTAGTATGTGTATGAATGTGAGTTAGGGACCTTAGATTGTACGCCCCTTGAGGGTTAGGGACTGATGTGAATGTACAATATATATGTAAAGTGCTGTGAAAATTGTCGGCGCTATATAAGTACCTGAAATAAAATAAATAAATCTCCTGTACCATGTCCGCAGTCTCTGACCATCTTCCGTACCACGTCCGCAGTCTCTGACCATCTTCCGTACCACGTCCGCAGTCTCTGATCATCTTCCGTAACATGTCCGATCTCTGACCATCTCCTCTAACATCCCTGCAGTCTCTTGACCATCTCTTGTACCATCCCTGCAGTCTCTGACCTATCTCTGTATCATGTCTGCAGTCTCTGACCATCTTCCGTACCCACGTCCACAGTCTCTGACCATCTCCTGTACCACGTCCGCAGTCTCTGACCATCTCCCATACAACGTCCGCAGTCTCTGACCATCTTCCGTACCACGTCCACAGTCTCTGACCATCTCCTGTACCACGTCCACAGTCTCTGACCATCTCCTGTACCACGTCCGCAGTCTCTGACCATCTCCCATACAACGTCCGCAGTCTCTGACTCCCATCTCTGACCATCTCCTGTTATAGTGTTTACAAATGGCAGTATATATACTGGGCTTTTTTTTTTCATACTAGTAACGGCGGCAATCAGTGACTTATAGTGGGACTGTGGCAGGCATTCTGACACTGGTGGGGAACTGGTTGGTGAACATTGACATCCCCAGTGACACCAATACAGTGATCAGTGCTAATAAAAAGCACTGACACTGTACTAATGGCATTGGGCAAGAAGAGGTTAACATGTGGGGCGATCAAAGGGTTAACTGTGTGCCGTTTTACAATATGTGCTGTGTTTGTGCTTCACTGTAAGCACACTGCTTTGTATGGCTGTGCTGTGCAGAGCCATGCAAAGCAGTATGCCGGAGCTGTCAGGCGAGAGAACTGTTTTGTTTACGAACAGTTCTCCCCCCCCCGTTGGAGATCCTCGGCAATCACTGGGCGCCGGCGAGTAATCACCAGCTGGGACCTGGTGATTGACAGCCACGATTGCGAAAGGTGGCGCGGGTAGAGTGCTAGTGCCATCTACCCGGTAGTGCAAAGTCACGTATATATACGTGATTTTGCGCACAGCTGCTGAACCGGATAACAACACTAAGCCTGGGTTCACATATATGCGGTGCGGTACATCGCATGTGATTCGCACAGGAACCGCACCGCGTTCCTGTGCGAATCACATGCGATTTGTGTGCGGTGCAATCGGAGTCGTACATTTTGTATGGCTCTAATCGTACCACACCCACACCAAAAATGTGCAGGACCCTTCTTTTGTTCCGCACTAGAATCGGATTGCATGGGTATTCACACCTATGCGATCCGATTCTGCACATCGCACCACGTTTTGCGGATCGCATTCGGGGTGTTGTTAACATACACACCCGCAGCGGTTCGCATGAACGGGGGGTGCGATTCTGATGCGGTGCGGAATTTGCACAGAAAACGCTGAGAATTCCACATGAGCAGTGACCTGCAAGAGGAAGACAAAAAGAAGAGGAAGAAGGAAGAAGAAGAAGAAGGAAGAAGAAGAAGAAGAAGAAGAAGAAGAAAAAGAAGAAGAAGAAAGAAGGAAGAAGGAAGAAGAAAGAAGAAGAAGAAAGAAAGGAAGAAGGAAGAAGAAGAAGAAGAAGAAGAAGAAGAAGAAGAAAGAAGGAAGCATGAAGAAGAAGAAAGAAGGAAGAAGGAAGAAGAAGAAGAGGAAGAAGGAAGAAGAAGAAGAGGAAGAAGAATAAGAAGAGGAAGAATAAGAGGATGAAGAAGAAGAAGAGGATGAAGAAGAGGAAGAATTCCAGTCCGGCAAAAAGTGTCCCTGCAGAAAGCGCCGCTATTTCTTTGACAGTTCTTTGACATTTATAGCGGCTGCAACAATGTATCTATTTGTATCCAAATAAAAACATCTGTATCCGAAATGGATACAAATAGACACATTGTTGCAACCGCAAGACTTTTTCATGTCAAATATAATAGTGGAGCTCTCTGCAGGGACACTTTTTGCTGGCTGTAGACGGGATGAAAATCGGCCAATTGATTTTTCGTTTTTTTTAAAGAAAAATCGACCGGTTTTCTCCCCATCTATGGCCTGCATAACAGAGTGAAATCGGCCAATTATTCTTAGGTCCGACATTCGGATGAAAAATCGGTTGATTTCGACCCATGTATGGCCGGCATAAGGCCTTCACAGAACTGAAGGGAGCTTAGAGCAGCATTTCCTCCAGGAGAACCAAGCATCTCAACCCTTCTATGGATCTACCATTTATGACGTTCTTACCATTGGGGTGAAATGGAATAGTGTTGAATGTTACAGCCGGGGGGACGTCGTTGTATTCTTCTGTGTATGACAAGGAGACCTGGAGCACAGCCCCTGGGAACGGACAGAAAATAGGAGATTTGCAGTTAGATTCTTGGTAAGGCATCACAGTGGCGGCCCATCCGGCAGTTTTCATCCGGCGCTCGCTGCTCGCTGCTCTGGTCTGTTTGCTGGTCGGATTATTATTATTATACAGGATTTATATCGCGCCGACAGTTTGTTCAGCGCTGTACAAAATGAAGGGAGACATTACAGTTACAATACAATTTGGTACAAGAGGAAACAGAGGGCCCGGCTCGTCAGAGCTTACAATCTAGGAGGAAGGGCTGAGTGATACAAAAGGTAATAGCTGTGGGGGGGATGGGCTCATGGAGGAAATAAATGGCAGTTTACTAGGTAGAAGCAGGATAGACTTCTTTAAAAAGAAAGGTTTTCAGGGATCGTTTAAAGGTGGATAGATTAGGAGACAGCCGGACAGATTGGGGTAGAGAGTTCCATGGGATGGGAGAAGCTCGGGAGAAGTCCTGGAGGTGAGCATGGGAGGAGCTGACATGGGAACTAGAGAGCAGAAGGGAGCGGTTTGGTTGATATTTTGAGACCAGGTTGGTGATGTAGTAAAGTTGTGGATTATCAGCTCAGTGGATCGTCCTCTGAACAACGATCGTTCACAGGAGTCCAGAGCTGGATTTTTTTTAGCTCTGTGTGAAGAGGAAGAGAACATCACATTGTTTTTTATGTGATGGTCATGATGCAAAGCTGTTTTTCCTCCACATAAAAATCCACTGACAGAATTTTTGCTGACTTTCCTCTGAAGCCGGCACTGAATACTCATCACATCATGGGGCTCCATGCACACGGGGGGGGGGGGGGGGGATTTTGATAACGCTGGTGATGTTAGCCATGTAAAGTCATGTTAAAAACGTGAGTTTTTCAGCTTTTTTTAGTGTTTTTTGCATTAGCGCTCAGCCACGTTTAGCAGCAATTTTCCACATTTTTCCAGATTTGCGTTTTTAGCTTTTGTTTGGTCAAAAAAAGTCCAAAAACTCCGGTTTGCTGTGTTTTTCAGCATTAGAACATTTTCACAGCTAAAAAACTCATCTGGAAACCCACTAGTTCTGTTTTTTTTTTTTCCCAGCCCAAAAACTTTGATTCCAGTCTATGTGTGCATAGGATAACATGCCGGGGATGGACACATAGGATAACATGCTGGGGATGGACACACAGGATAACATGCCGGGGATGGACACGTAGGATAACATGCCGGGGATGGACACGTAGGATAACATGCCGGGGATGGACACACATAGGATAACATGCCGGGGATGGACACACATAGGATAACATGCCGGGGATGGACACACATAGGATAACATGCCGGGGATGGACACACATAGGATAACATGCCGGGGATGGACACACATAGGATAACATGCCGGGGATGGACACACATAGGATAACATGCCAGGGATGGACACACAGGATAACATGCCGGGGATGGACACACAGGATAACATGCCGGGGATGGACACACAGGATAACATGCGGGGATGGACACATAGGATAACATGCCGAGGATGGACACACATAGGATAACATGCCGGGGATGGACACACAGGATAACATGCCGGGGATGGACACACAGGATAACATGCCGGGGATGGACACACAGGATAACATGCTGGGGATGGACACACAGGGATAACACGCCGGGGATGGACACACAGGATAACACGCCGGGGATGGACACACAGGATAACACGCCGGGGATGGACACACAGGATAACACGCCGGGGATGGACACACAGGATAACACGCCGGGGATGGACACACAGGATAACATGCCGGGGATGGACACACAGGATAACATGACGGGGATGGACACACAGGATAACATGTTGGGGGGTTTACTGGCTGTAGAAAAAAATGTCAAAAGCCTAAAACAGCCGCTGTAAAAACATCCCGTGTGCATGAGAACAAAAGAGGAATTCTCCACCACCAGAAATTAAAGGGGGCCCTAATCCTATCACAGAGTCATAATGTAGCAATGCACTAGAACACGCATGTTTGCACGCGGTATATAGAATAAACCCCAAAAAATTATACTCAGCTAGGTGGATGCGGCATCGATCCAATCTCTGCAGTGAGAACTGAGCAATCAAAGACAGCTGACCGCTCAGTTCTCCCCCCCTCCGCTCTGAGCAGAGAGCTGTGACTGTCAGTCACCGGTTCTCTGCTCTCCCCTCCAGCACTCACTGGAGCGCTGGGCTGTGGAGGGGAAGGGATGGGGTTGGCTCAGGATCTCGGCGGATCCTTGAGAGACTAAGCCAGCTGCCAATCCAGTCATCTGGATGGATCCCGATCCCATATGGTTGGGATCTTTCTGGAGCCTGGACCAGCTGAGTGACTTTAGCACACTGATGGCTGAAAATGGGTCACAGGAGTGCAGAACAAACTGAACTCCTGCGATCCAAAGGAGTAGTATGGCCAAAAAGGCTTTGTACATACTTATGATTTAGGTGCAGCCGATTCTTTGTGAAGAGAATGGGGAAAAATGGGGATAGATAGATAGATAGATAGATAGATAGATAGATAGATAGATAGATAGATAGATAGATAGATAGATAGATAGATAGATAGATAGATAGGAGAGATACAATAGCATATTTTTTTTTTTAAATTGCAGTGGTAGAAAAAAAATAAAGGCTAGATGGATGGGTGAATGGATGGATGGACAGACAGATGGCTGGATGGATAGATGGCTTGAAGGAGAAAAGGTTGGATGGAAGGAAGGATGTATAGAAGGTAGATGGAGAGATGGGTTGATGGATAAATGCAGGGACGGATGGAGAAATGACTGGATAGATATACGGATGGAAGGATTAATGGATGGCTGGATGGATAGTTTGATGGATCGACAGAGAGATAACTGGCTGAAAGCATAAATAGATGGATGGATGGAAGGATTGATGGATGGAAGGATTGATGGATGGAAGGATGGATGGATGGATGGATTGATGGAAAGATGGATGGATGAAAGGATGGATGAAAGGATGGATGGATGGATGAAGGATGGATGGATGGAGGATGGATGGAAGGAAGGATGGATGGCTAGACAGATGGATGGATGGATGGAAGGAAGGATGGATGGATGGATGGATGGATGGAAGGATGGATGGAAGGATGGATGGATGGAAGTATAGATAGATGGATGGATGCAAGGATGGATGGATGGAAGGATGGATGGAAGATGGATGGATGGAAGGATGGCTAGATGGTTGAAAGGATAGATGGATGGATGGAAAGATGGATGGATGGATGGCTAGAGAGATAGATAGATGGATGGAAAAATGGATGAATTATTATTATTATTATTACATGGAGTTTATATAGTGCCAAAGGGTTTGCTCAGCGCTGTACAATGGGGGGGACAATACATGGCACAGTACAACAACAAACAACGTACGAGGGGGTAAGAGGGCCCTACTCTTTCAAGCTTACAATCTAGGAGGGAGGGGGTAGTGGAACAGTAGGAAGTGGCTGTGGGGGATGGAGTGGTAGGAGGAATGAGGGAGAATGGCCGTTAGGTGAGGGTGGGGTAGGCTTCCTGAAGAGATGGGTTTTGAGGATTGATGGATGGATTGATGGATGGAAGGGTGGATGGATGGATGGAAGAATTGATCGATGGATGGAAGGATGGATGGACAGATGATGGATGGATGGATGGATGGAAGTATAGATAGATGGATGGAAGGATGGATGGATGGATAGATGGAAGGATGTATGGATGGATGAAAGGATGGATGGAAGGATGGATATGGATAGACGGATGGATGGATGGATGGATGGATGGATGGATGGATGGATGGAAAGATGGATGGATGGATGGCTAGACAGATACATGGGATGGATAGATGGATGGATGAATGGATAGATGGAAGAATTGATCGATGGATGGATGAAGGATGGATGAAAGGATGGATGGATGGATGGATGGATGGATTGATTGATGGATGGATGGATGGATGGATAGATAGATAGATGGATGGGATGGATGGAAGTATAGATAGATGGATGGATGGATGGAAGTATGGAAGATGGATGGATGGGATGGATGGATGGATAGATGTATGTATGTATGGATGGATGGATGATGAAATGATGGATGGGATGGATGGATAGATGGATGGATGAATGGCTAGACGGATGGATTGATGGAAAGATGGATGGATGGATAGATGGATGGATGAAAGGATGGATTGATGGCTAGACAGATAGATGGATGGATGATGGATGGATGGATGGGATGGATGGATGGATGGATGGATGAAAGGATGGATGGATGGATGGAAAGATGGATGGATGAAAGGATGGATGGATGGATGGAAAGATGGATGGATGGATGGATGGATGGATGGATGGATGGATGGATGGATGGATGGATGGATGGATGGAATGGTTGGATAGATGGATGGAATGGATGAATGGATGGATGGAAAGATGGATGGATGGATGGATGGAATGGATGGGATGGTTGGATGGGCTAGATGGTAGGGATGGATGGATTGATGGATAGACAGGTGGATGGATGGATGGACTGATGGATGGATGAAAGGATGGATGGATGGATGGCTAGACAGATAGATGGATGGATAGATGAATGGATGGTTTGATGGATGGATGGCTAGACAGATGGATGGATGGAAAGGATGGGATGGATGGATGGATGGGATGGTGGATGGAATGGATGGAAGGGGTGGATGGAGGATGGATGGAAGGATGGATGGATGGGGGATGGATGGAAGGAGGATGGATGGATTGGGATGGATGGAAAGGATGGATGGATGGAAGGATGGTTGGATGGCTAGACGGATGGATGGATTGATGGATAGGGGACAGGTGGATGGATGGATGGATGGATGGATGAAAGGATGGATGGATGGATGGATGGATGGCTAGACAGATAGATGGATGGATAGATGGATGGCTAGACAGATAGATGGATGGATGAATGGATGGGGACAGATGGATGGATGGAAAAATGGGAATGGGGGGGGGGGGGGGATGGATGGATGGGGAGGGAAGATGGATGGATGAAATGGATGGATGGATGAAAGGATGGATGGATGGAAAGATGGATGGAAGGGTGGATGGGATGGATGGATGGATGGATGGATGAAGGATGGATGGATGGATGGATGGATGGAAGGATGGATGGATGGATGGATGGATGGGGATGATGGATGGATGGATGGATGATGATGGATGGATGGATGGATGGATGGATGGATGGATGGAAGGATGGAAGATGGATGGATGGAAGATGGATGGATGGAAGACATGGATGGCTAGACGGATGGATTGATGGATAGACAGGTGGATGGATGGATTGATGGGATGGCTAGAAAGATGGATGGATGGATGGATGGCTAGACAGGTGGATGGATGGGATCGAATGGATGGATGGATGGAATGGAATGGATGGATGGATGGATGGATGGATGGAAGGATGGATGAAAGGATGGATGGAATGGATGGATGGATGGAATGGGGATGGATGGATGGATGGATGGAATGGATGGATGGATGGATGGCTAGATGGATGGATGGATGGATGGATGGAAGGATGGATGGATTAAATGGGTGGATGGAAGGATGGATGGATGGATGGATGGATGGACAGATGGATGGATGGATGGAAGGATGGAAGGATGGATGGATTAAATGGATGGATGGAAGGATGGATGTAAAGGATGGATGGATGGATGGATGGCTAGACAGATGGATGGAATGGATGGATGGATGGAAGGATGGATGGATGGACTGATGGATGGAAGGATGCTTGGATGGATGGATGGATGGATGGAAGGACAGATGGAAGGATAGATGGAAGGATGGATGGATGGATGGAAGGGATGGTTGGATGGCTAGACGGATGGATTGATGGATAGACAGGTGGATGGATGGATTGATGGATGGCTAGAAAGATGGATGGATGGATGGATGGCTAGACAGGTGGATGGATAGATCGAAGGATGGATGGATGGATGGATGGATGGATGGATGGATGGATGGAAATGGATGAAAGGATGGATGAATGGAAGGATGGATGGGTGGAAAGATGGATGGGTGGACGGATGGATGGATGGCTAGGATGGATGAAGGATGGATGGATGGAAGGATGGATGATGGATGGATGGATGGATGGATGGAAGGATATGGAGGAAGGATGGAATGATAGATGGAAGGATGGATGGATGGATGGAAGGATAGATTGAAGGATGGATGGATGGATAGAAGGATAGATTGAAGGATGGATGGATGGATAGAAGGATAGATCAAAGGATGGATGGATGGAGGGAGGGATGGAAGGATGGATGGATGGAAGGATAGATGGAAGGATAGATCGAAGGATGGATGGATGGAGGGATGGATGGGATGGATGGATGGATGGATGGATTGATTGATGGATGGATAGAAGGATGGATGGATGGATCGATGGATGGAAGAATGAATGATGGATAGAAGGATAGATGGAAGGATGGATGGATGGATGGATTAAGATGGATGGATGCATGGATGGATGGATGGATCGATCGATCGATGATGATGGATGGATTAAATGAATGGAAGGATGGATGGCTAGACAGATGGATGGATGAAAGGATGGATGGATGGAAGGATGGGCTAGACAGATGGATGGATGGAAAGATGGATGGATGGATGGAAAGACAGATGGATGGATGGAAGGATGGATGGAAGGATGGTTGGATGGATGGAAGGATGGTTGGATGGATGGTTGGATGGATGGCTAGACAGGTGGATGGATGGATATATGGATAGACAGATAGATGGATGGATGATAGGATGGATGGATGGATGGATTAAATGGATGGATGGATGGAAGGATGGATGGATGGATAGACAGATAGATGGATGGATGATAGGATGAATGGATGGATTAAATGGATGGATGGAAGGATGGATGGATAGACAGATAGATGGATGGATGATAGGATGGATGGATGGATGGATGGATAGAGATAGATGCAGACAAATACAAACCTTCCCAGATGGAGTCCTTCAGTCCTCGGATGTTGGCTCTCCATGTCAGGAGGTTGTCACTTGCTGGTCTTACAGAAATACCCTGAAATACAAACCATTTATGGATTCCTCCTCTCAGATCAGTCACTGCGAGTGCATTCTATGGTGTCCTCTATCCATTCTATGGAGTCCCCCGTGTATTCCCGACTCCGCCCATTAGTACAGCCATGTATTTCTGAATGGCAGACACTCCTCTGCTGCTCTGGGATTGGCTGTATTTACTAAAGGTGCGCAGGAGGAAAACCGAGAAATGTGGCATTTAATTCGGTGTCAGATTTATAGTCCGGCATTCATCATTACTGTTCAGTTTAGCTGATTCTATATGGCTGCCAGTATCCTTTCCAGTGATTTGTTGGGGATCACAGCCACCCGACACTCCTGGAAGTGTCAAATGACCAAGAGTCTGATGGGAGAAACTTGATTGGGTAGCAATCTACCCCCAAAAAAAAAAAAAAAGGAAAAAAATGCTGGTTTAGCACGTTTTACCGCACTAGAGCACTTTTCCAGCAAAAAAAAACGCTGATTACAGCCCATGTGTGCATTGGCACTAAAGATTAAGGCCGGTTCACATTCCATGCGTTTCAGTTGCTTTTTTTTTGCATCCAAAACGCACAGAAAGTCAATGATCTGGTTGTCAATGTCATAGTTCACATAAGCGCTTGCAGTTACGGTGTGTTCTGGATGCAGAAAAAAAAGTAGAACAGGATGTATTTGTTCTGCACAGAGCTGTACTAGAACGCAGTAAAACGCATAAAAAACGCACCAAAACACACATGTCCCTATTTAAATTGAAAGAAAGAGAGAGAGGGGAGAAAATGAACTGGAATGCATAAACAACGCACTGGAACGTGTCACAAATGCATCAAAAATGCACCCGGAACGCATCTGGACTGCGTTTCTATAGTGTGAACTGGCCCTAATTGTCGTTAAGGGGCGGTTCACACTCCATGCGTTTCAGTTGCTCTTTTTCCTGCATTCAAACCGCACAGAAAGTCGGTGATATGGTTGTCAATGTCATAGTTCACATCAGCGCTTGCAGTTCCAGAGCGTTCCGGTTGCAGAAAAAAAAAAAGTAGAACAGGCTGCATTTTTCTTGCGCAGAACTGTACTGGAATGCAGTAAAACGCATCAAAAACGCACATGTCCCTATTTAAATTGAAAAAAGAAAGAGGGGAAAAATGCACTGGAACACATCCAAAATGCATCAAAAACACACTAAAACGTGCCAAAACGCATAAGAAAAAAGGAACATGCAAAAATGCACCCAGATCGCATCTTGTAGGGCCAGTTCACACTCCATGCGTTTCAGTTGCTTTTTTTCTGCATCCAAACCGCACAGAAAGTCGGTGATCTGGTTGTCAATACATCATTCACATCAGCGCTCGCAGTTCCAGCGCGTTCCAGTTGCAGAAAAAAAAAAAAGTAGAACAGGCTGCATTTTTTCTGCACAGAACTCAACTGGAATGCAGTAAAGCGCATCAAAAATGCACCGAAGCGCACATGTCCCTATTTAAATTGAAGAAAGAGAGAGGGGAAAAATGAACTGGAATGCAAAAAAAAAAAAAACGCACCAGAACATGTCAAAAATGAATCAAAAACGCACCGGAACATACCAAAAACGCATCAGCACACGTATGAAAAAATACATTTGGAACCAGCCCTAAGTGTGTTCTGCAATGCAATATACATCCCCGATGATAGACATGCGTACTAATACTCACGTAGAGCCGGGCCTTCTGCAGATCCTCATTATCTCGCTCCAGTAGCAGGTAGGCCCGCGAACGCATGACTGCCACGTATGGAGGTGTCTGCTGATAAAGGATGTACAGAGTATGAGACACGGAACATACATTGCAGGCAGATATAAAACACACAAATCACTGCAGATCTAAAGTCATCAAATGTTTTTTTTTTTTTTTGAATGCCGAAGTTCTTCAATTTGACCCGTATCAGCCTCCTGTAAGTCCAGGGTCACACCTAAGCATTTTGTGGTGCGTTTGGCATTTTGCAGAAACACACTACAGTTCATTCAACATGATTTCCTATGGGACAGGTTCCCATCTCCGCTTTTTCACCCGCTGCGATTTTTGGAAAGGGTCGGGGACTTTCTGAACCGCAAAACGTGGCGTTTTGGTTCAATAGACTTCAATGGAGATGCTGCAGAAATGCATGTGGTGTGTTTTTGATGTATTTTGTGTTTTAATCTGCCCAGCAACAAGTTGGCAAAACCCCCGCACAAAACGCATTAAAAATGCATCAAACACGCATGTGCAAAAACGCAAAACGCACAGCAAAAAGCACTGCAGAAACGGATCAAACGCAAACTTCAAGGTGTGAACCTCGCCTAAAGCAGAACTCCAACTGTAAGGGGGATGCAGCAAAAGGAACCAACCAGTTATTCTGAATGCTAACAAGGAGCATGCTGATAGCAGGACAGAGTAGAGTGTCAGAGAGATCAGGCCTGTAAGTATTACACCAATGCGTTTTTTAATGCATTTTGCAGAAATGCACTTCAGTCCATTTAACATGGTTTCCTATAAAATATGTCCACATCGGCACAGTGGCTAAATGGTTAGCACTTCCCCTTGGCAGTACTAGGGTTGTTGGTTCAAATCCCAGACATGGCACCACCTGCCTGGAGTTTGCATGTTCTCCTTGTGCCTGCGTGGGTTTCCTCTGGGTACTCCAGAGGTGAACTGATGAAAAAAAAAGATGAAAACGGATGTGAACTGATGAAAAACGGATGTAAACTGATGTAGACTGATGAAAAACGGATGTGAACTGATGAAAAACGGATGTAAACTGATGTAAACTGATGAAAAACGGATGTGTACTGATGAAAAACGGATTTAAACTGATGAAAAATGTATGAAAACAGATGTGAACTGATGAAAAATGGATTTAAACTGATGAAAAAAAAAAAATGTATGAAAACAGATGTGAACTGATGAAAAAAATGGATGTGAACTGATAAAAAAAGTATGAAGATGAATGTGAACTGATAAAAAATGGATGAAAAATGTATGAAAATGGATGTGAACTGATGAAAAACGGATGTGAACTGATGAAAAACGGATATAAACTGATGAAAATGGATGTGAACTGATGAAAAACGGATGTGAACTGATGAAAAAATGTGATGTGAAAAAAAACTGATGAAAAAAACGGATGTGAACTGATGAAAAACGGATGTGAACTGATGAAAAACGGATGTGAACTGATGAAAAACGGATGTGAACTGATGAAAAACGGATGTGAACTGATGGAAAACGGATGTGAACTGATGAAAAACGGATGTGAACTGATGGAAAACGGATGTGAACTGATGGAAAACGGATGTGAACTGATGGAAAACGGATGTGAACTGATGTAGACTGATAAAAAATGGATGTGAACTGATGAAAAACGGATGGAAACTGATGTAGATTGATGAAAAACGGATGTAAACTGATGAAAAACGGATGTAGACTGATGAAAAACGGATGTGAACTGATGAAAAACGGAAGTAAACTGATGTAGACGATGAAAAACGGATGTGAACTGATGAAAAACGGATGTAAACTGATGTGAACTGATGAAAAACAGATGTAAACTGATGAAAAAAAATAGATGCGAACTGCTGAAAAAAACCGATGTGAACTGATGAAAATTGGATTTAAACTGATGAAAAATGGATGTAAACTGATGAAAAAAAAATGGATGTGAACTGCTGAAAATTGAATTTTAACTGATGAAAATGGATTTAAACTTATGAAAAATGGATGAAAACTGATCAAAAAAAATGGATGTGAACTGCTGAGAAAAATAAAACGAATGTAAACAGATGAAAACCAGATTTTTTCCTGGCAAAAGCTGAACTGATGAAAAAAAACCAGACCACCCGTGTGAAAGGGGCCCGTTTTTCAGGTGGACCCGATCAGAACCTCCACTCTCCTCTATGGACCGGACATGTATCGGTTTACACCCTCCAACATCCGATCTGCCAAAAAGGGATGGCTGCTGATCCAATTCCCCTTCCGTCCGTCGGATCGGATGTAAACGGACAGTCAGTCCTTTCTCATCCGACGCCCATTGAGGAGAGCGAGCGGCTCTGTGTCTGATCGGCAGCAGTGGAACGCACACAGAGCTTCATCCGCTTGCTCAGCAGAGAGCAATCGGATCCACTGAACGGGTCGGCTCCGCGTGAGAGAGCCCTTACTTGCCACAGTAAGGTTTCCGGTTGTGCCAGGTGGGGATGTAAGGTGTGGCAGGGCTGTTTATATTGTAGGAGTGGATGGACAGAAATAGAAATCTTTTGGCAGGGAACGGAGCTTCAAGTAGCGGATTTGCCCCATTGCACCTACAATTGGTGTGATTACTGAGGAATGAGGGGGGGGGGGGTCGAGCTTTTTTTTTTTTTTGGAGTAATGTGTCAGTGTGGCCCTACAGAGTTCATTCTGCTCAGGGGCCCAATGGGAGCTGTCTGTTCCAGTACCAGGTGGGGGGCGTCCCTCTGAGGGAACACGGGACGTCAGACGCATTGTAAATGGGATCAGTCGCTTATCATGCCCGGCTGCCCCTCACAGATGGGAACGTTCTGGATTACAAGTCCTAAACGAGAGGCAGATTTCCTCCTCTGCACAGCCCGGAACAATCAGGAACCGATTTCATGCAACAAATTAGTGCGGCTGCATCTTTATAATCGCCCAGAGACAAGAAAATAAACCGAATTCCTCTCCAGCCTGCAATAACGATTGAAATACATGCCGCGTCCTCCTTCCTATTCCACGTTCTGTGCGACTGATGGGAACTTTGGGGGTCAATTCACTAAAGGTAACGCGGTCACGTGACTCATTTGTATAAATCATTGCGAATGTCCAATTCACAAGAAAAGAAAAAACGATTATGCGGTATTAAAGCCATCCATACATGGGTCGAAATTCGACAAATTTTTCATCCGAAAGTCGGACCTAAGAATAATCGGATGATTTTCGCTCTGTTATGCAGGCCATAGACGGGTCGAACATCAGCGATTTTTGGAACGATAAATGAAAATCGGTCGTTCGTTCGGCCGACATTACCACCAACGATTAAAAAATCAGCCTACTTATGCAGGCCATAGGCGGTTCATTTATCGTCCGAATTTTCGGCCTAAAAACAAAAAAAAAAAAAAAATCGGTCGTTCTGTTGCCACCAATGCTTACGAAAATCGGCCGTTTTTTCGTAAATTTTCCAGTATGAAACGAGGAGGAACCGCGAAAATTGTCCGATGACATTGCCCCACTAACGGTGCGAATATTGGCTGATTATTCTTTTGGATGAAAATTTGGCCGATAAACAAACCGTCTATGGTCTGCAGAAATCATAACGTTCATGAAGATTTGAAGAAATAGAACACGAATAAAAAGAAATAAAATATGCTGAAGATGAAGAAGTTGCAACAATGTATCTATTTGTATCCATTTCAGATACAGATGTTTCTATTCGGATACAAATAGATACAATGTTGCTATACTTTTAAATGTCAAATATAATATCGGACTGAAATTCTTTTTTTTCTTCTTCTTCATATTCTATTTTTTTCCTTTTCTTCATGTCACTGCTCATGTGCATTTTTAAGTATCGGAAAAAGATCGGTAAATTTGGCCGATTGGCCAATAATCGGCCGATTTTTGCTCTGTTAGTAGGTCAATGGCTCCAACCAATTTTCGTGGTTCCTCCCCTTTTTGGTGATCGGGCATGTTGGAAAAACCCACACAAAACGCATCAAAAACATGGCTAAAGTGCATCAAAAACGCAATGCAGAAACCGCTCAAACATCCATGGAAATGCTGCAGAAAAGCATGTCGTGCATTTTGCGTTTTAAATCTGCCTAGCAACAAGAAAAAAACATAAAATGAAAAAAAAAAAAAAACACAAAAAAGGCAAAAGGCGTCACAAACACATGTGCAAAAACACGAAACGCACTGCAGAAATGGATCAAACGCAATCTGCATAGGTGTGAACCTAGCCTTACCCTAGCTTCACACCTAAGCGTTTTCTGCAGCGTTTTGCATTCTGGGACTTTTTTCAACGCAAAAAGTTGCGTTTTGGGTTCTATAGACTTCAAGTTAAATGCTGCAGAAAAGCATGTTGTGCGTTTTTGCTGCATTTTAAATCTGCCTAGCAACAAGAAAAAAAACTTAAAATAAAAAAAAAAAAAAAAGGCAAAAGGCGTCAAAAATGCATGTGCAAAAGCGCAAAACGCACTGCAGAAACAGATCTAATGCAATCTGCATAGGTGTGCACCTAGCCCTTATGGAAAGGTCAGGAACTTTTTTTAAACGCAAAAAGTTGCATTTTTGGTTCAATAGACTTCAATGGGAACTCTGCAGAAAAGCATGTATTGCATTTTTGATGCGTTTTTTCGCAGTGGTTTTTATGCGTTTTTGCATTTAAAATCTGTCTAGCAAGAAGAACAATGGAAAAAAAAAAAATGCAAAACGCATCAAAAACGCAAATGCAAAAAATGCAATGCAGAAACGCCTCAAAAGCAACCTGCATAGGTGTGAACCTTGCCTTACTCTAGTTCACACCTAACCATTTTCTGCAGGGTTTTGCATTTTGGGACTTTTTTCAATGCAAAAAGTTAAGTTTTTGGTTCTATAGACTTCAATGGATATGATGCAGAAAAGCATTTCGTGCGTTTTTTTTGTTGCGTTTTTTTATGCATTTTGTGTTTTAAATCTGCCTAGCAACAAGAAAAAAAACATTACAAAAAAAAAAAAGGGCAAAAGGCGTCACAAACACATGTGCAAAAACGTGAAAC